TTAGAATTTAAGCTCGTTTTATTTTTCTATTTCCTTTTGAGTAGAACTTGTTTGTATATTCAATACAGTGTGATATTACAGAAACAGGAGAAGTCAGAAACAGTCTAAGTAGTCCCAACTAATTATGTTTCAAATAATTCCGGTTCGTATTGTAGCTCGGAGTTATTGATGGTTAGTACATCTGGTGTCCTGATTTTGGCCCTCTTCCAGAAATCTGCATGCCGATGTTGCTTGATTTAAATCACTGCAAGTATACCTTCAGAAGATAAAATTGACAAGGTCAAAGTAATTTAAATAAAGCAAAACCACAAAAATTATTGAGGCAGGAATTCCCATATCCCAGAGTAAAACTTGCTTTGCCATTAAAATGGATATATCTGTGTAAGACTTCTTGATGACTACTGAAGTTACTTAGTAGCATAATGTTTGATTTCAGCAAAGGGAGAGCTCAAAGACGAAGAACCAGTATCAAAAGCACAACTTGGGGCATTTTTTTCTGCAATGACCATTCGTGCAAATGCCTTCCCAGAGCCAACCCAATGGAGTGAAGGGGAAAGGCGTGCAATGAACCATTATTGGCCGCAATTGATTCGAGTGCTTCCCCAGGATACCATATTTATTGCTGATCCAGAAGGCTCGATAATGGGAGTTGGCAGTTCAATAGGCCCTCAATTCGTTGGTAATGGTACTGCGGAGATGAGACTCGTTGGTACCCTTAGGGAAGTTTTGGCTGGGGGTCATCTTGGATATGAGGAAGTTCAGGGTGTTCTAAAAGATGTCCTTCCATTGGAAGTAGGAAAAATGGAATCATCTAGTGTAAGTGAGTCACTGTTTTCTGCATTTATGATAGGCCAACGAATGAATCGGGAAACAGACCGTGAGCTGAAAGCCTACTGCCTTGCATTTGATAATGAACTTGGTAATATACTATTTCCTTTTGTCTAAAAAGAATTGGTTGTTGCTTGTTACGTGCCTGCTGCTAAATGACATTGGTTGTTGCTTGTTACGTGCCTGCTGCTAAATGACATTTCTTTATTATCTGCTTTAATCTTGTCATCATCCCTTTCAGGCCCTGCACCAGTTGCTGATGTAAACTCATTGACTCACTACGGTGAGCCTTATGATGGAAATACCCGCTACTTCAGAAGTACACTGTTTGTTGCTGCTGTTAGATCCTGCTATGGTGAATCTTGCTTGCTCCATGGTGTGGATTGGATGCCACCAAAGGTGTCATATGTGCCTATATGCTGTAATAAGATATCCATTACTTAATATCTATATCTAAAATTTATGTCTGATATATATACGGAAAAGATATTACTAGTAGAAAACATGAATATGCAAGGAAATATTTACTTGAAGAGGCACCTGCTGCAAGAAGCTGTCCTCAAATAGTCACCTTCAAATGAAAATTTGAGTTTGCAGAAAATTTTATGATCCAATAATAGCAGATAGATTTCTACATCCGTTCAATTTTTATTTTTTTTGAAGCAAGTGGTTTAACCAAACCTCATTTTCTTATTCCAGGGAGGCATCACTGAAGAACAAATGCTGATGTTTATGGGAGCAAACACACACTTAACACCCTCTCAAGTTAAAAAGCTTCTTGAGGTCCATGATTTTCCCGTCCCTTGATACCTTTTTTGCATTAAACTTACATAAAATGTTGCAGTTTATTAGTAATCCAAATTGTATTCAGGATGATGAAGTTGGTTTTGCTTATATAAGTCAACGAGAAGCTCGCCCATCTTTGTACGTAGATCCAACCTTTCAGAAACCGAATCATTCTCTTTATTTTTGTTTTTTTCCTTTTTTTTTCTTGCATGTCCTAAAGGGAAAGATAATGCCTCAATTAACTCCCCAGCAACTGTCCTAGCAGTTAAAAATAGAAAGGATATATTTCTGCTGTAGATTCTGCAATCTGGTCTTCCCAATTCTGAAGGCTTTTTAAAGTTCTAGGTTCATAGAATCTGATGGTTTGAGATATTCTGTATGGCTGTTCCAAAGCCTTTCTATATGTTGGACTCCTCCCTTCCTCGATGTTCTTAATATTTCAGTTTCCCATCTGAACATGGCTCCTACCGTTGAGTCTCTTCTTCACTTTTGACTTTTCTTGGCTTACTTAAAAAATATGTGAGATATCATTATGTCTTCTATTTGAGTACTTTTACCATGCTCTTATTTATTTGTTTGTTTGGGGGAAGGCAGTTTCTTTTTGGTGCAAGACTGCAAGTATAAAACACTAAATTCTGATATCTAGCTAGGCTTAGAACAGCTACTCCATTCCTGAATATCGTGTGAAAATTAAGAAATAAAATTACTTATATTTAAAATATTTATGCATAAGTTATGCTTTTTTTTTTTTTTTTTTGAAATGGCTTATGCATTATTTTTTTGAAATGGATAATATGTTATACTTATCACTAGAGGCTAAAAGTTTCAACTTAATTGCAAAATTACTTGCCAATAATTGGCTGACCCCGAAGGTTAAGCACCTAGTCAGTACTTCGTCTGTATTCATATATATGTCCGTTTAAGGCACAGCTCAGTTGTAGAAAGAAATTGTTCCTTAGATCATTGCTTTATGAATGTAACCTGTGTTAAACTTCCATGATAATAAGAAGCAGCTAACATGATGGTCCATATGTTATTGTATTTGCAGATACTCATTGATAGGGTTAAGGGAACATATAAAGAAACGCCCACCACTGGCGACAGCTGAGAAAGTTCAACAAATTGTGCGGGTAGGTCATGTTACTGTTTGTTTCTTTTGTACCAAATACAAAAAATGCATTTAGGTCTACGTATTTAAATTTCTAGATTTCAAGTATGTTATTATCTTGTTCTGCTTACTTATGAGCTTAGCTTAGAACTGGTCATGAATTAATTCAATTGACTCTCAATCACATGTAGGTTCTTTAGAAAGAAGTTATAGGCTCTTAGATGGCTTTTTCTTTTCTCCAATTTGTATTTTTAAAAGCAGAAGCTCCTTGCAGCTTGGACAAGTTGATCTTTAGTTGAATTGTTCTGTTTTCTCTTCAGGCTCGGGGGAAGGAAGCAATTGTTGCTGGTTTCTATCACGAAGGCTATGAAGAACCATTGTTGATGCTTATGAGGAGACGGGGTGTGCATGCTGGTTTGGTTGTAAAGGTACTTCATGACCTGAAAGAAGATTTCTTTTTGGGGTGGGTGGGGCGGTGGGGATGGTCCCCTCTGCTGTTTATTATCATCTCTGACCTGAGAAAACCAGTGGCAACATTGATTTCGCGAGTTGTACATAATCTCTGTAGATGTTTGCATCTTTAGGGTGAGGAAGGCGCACTTTCAATGACGACGAGGTTGAGGACAGCAAATGCATCAAAAGGATTTCCTGTGAATTATTGCTCAGGGTTTCGTTCAGTGAATTTGGCACCTGCTTGTGCAGTTGATGGTACGTGTTTACCATACTGTCAGTGATTTTATCCCTTACTTTCTATGTTGAGTTGCTGAATTCCTGCTTCTCCAAGTACATAAAAACAACATACCCATTCTAAAGAAAATAGACAATGAGGTAACTGGTTTTAAGCATCTTTTCAGCAAGCTCAAGCTTTTTAAGATGTCGCAGGTGTATCACGTGAGAGTTTCAATATTGAGGTTAATGCTAAGGATTATGGCTTTGCACCCACAGATACTCCAAGAACAGATAGATCTGTAAGCTCCGTCTCTCTTTTTTCTCTTTCAAATGCTTTCTGTTCCCAGAATTTACTAGCACCAAAATTTGTCAGAGCGATAAGTGATTTTTATCATTTTGCATGTTACACTGATTGCTCTTTGCCATTGTATATATTGGGACTACTATCTTGGTGGCCGCATCAATTCTAAAAGTTTATAAATGACTATATTTTGTGAAGTTAACCATGTGGTCCAAGATCATCGGTTTACTTTGTTTAGGTTTTGAAACTTCTAGACGGAAATCAAGGCCAGTTGCTTCAACTTGAGTGCTTCTCTCGTATTTCCAGCCTATTCCTCGAGCTTTGTCCTTCTGGTGGTAATATAAATCAAGATGATTAAACCTTTGTTCCTTTGTAAATTTCTTTAGGTTGCAAAGAATATAGAGTTGGGTTTAGCAGCTTTACGTGGAGAGAAAGGTCCAGCATATGATAGAATTGTCTTAAATGCTGGTATGATCGATCATTTGCTTGGGTCTGATGGAGCTCAAGACATAAGTGCAGCTTTAGATAGAGCCAGAGAAGCCATTGATAGTGGCAAGGCCTTGACAAGATTCCTGAATTACATCAAGACATCTAACAAAGTGATATCATAGTTTGAGGCATGTTGGATTTTCTCCTTCCTCGTCTAGGCCATTATCCCAGCAAATGTGTAATGGGTTTATGTCCATATGCATGTGCAGATGATGGAAGTTGAAATTCAAAATTGTTTTCTTTATCTTTTGTCTTTTAAATCTGTTGTACATGTCGGAAAGATTTTCACTGTTTCAATTTTGCTTAGGCAAGCTTCTCTCATACCGTTCCCCCTTTTTCCCTACTTGAAAAGGTCTCTTCCGTAGAGGACTTGAGAACTGATCTAAAGAACTGTTCTGATATTTAGTTATGAACTTAATGTCAGTATTACTATTAGCTTATTCATGTACGAGTACTTGAAGGAACTAATATCTCTTGTCAGCTTTGATTTCCACTTGAAGGCCGGATAAAATGGTCTGAAAATCTGTAGGTATGAAAAAGAAGGAATAGAAAAGAGAGGGTATAGATAGAAAGTTTGCTTTCATGAAAGATAACCTAATGGTAATTCCGAAACAGATAACCTAGAAATTGTGTAAATAAAGAGTAAAGATACATGAAAAATGTCTTGGTAATTCCAGCATCTCCTTTGTTATGTCCTTTCTCTTTTATCACGGTAAGCACATGCATGATGCCAACAAATGATCCACTGACAAAATTGTTGCATGACTGGACTTTCTTCCTAATTCGAAAGTCACAACGGCTAGAAATAAGAACTGCATATCATGCAAGAAAGCAATTTTATGAGAAAGAAAAGATCCATTTCTCGAGGTACATTCATCATCTCCGTGAAGAAGTTTGAAAGAGTAGAAACATCTTAGTTATGCTACAATCGAAGTGTATATCTTTTTGAGAAGTAGATTAACTAAGAAAGTTCTATCTAATCACTTGAGTAGCACCAGTTATTGCGGTAGTGCTGCCTGGAAGAGCTCGCTTCTCCTTGCTTTCTCTATACTTGTCTTGAATCAAAGGTGAATATAAAGAATGAAATAACAGCTTAGGAGGATCTGCAATTAAATCTGAAGTGCAGCTGCTATGGGAGCGGCGAGGCTCAGAACCTCAAATGGCTTTCTGTCTTTCACCTCCTTCACTGTTCGAGGGCATGAATCTGTGATCCAGAAGTAGGTCATCCCATTCTCCGGACTACCTGAAAAAGTTAGAAGGTAAATAGGGATGAGAAAAATCAAGAGGATAGACCAAAACTCAAGACAGACATTCAGAGTGCGGTTGTGCATTTCATTGAGAATTTAAAAACTTTTAGATATGCTAACAAATTTTAATATTAATTTGCTAAATACGGACGAAATTTCAAAGATCATGCTGCAAACACACTTGGTGCCTGAATGTGTTGTATTGCTGAATAATATCTACTTTCAGTTGCCAAATTTTATTAGTACATAATTTTTCCAGTCTAACACCAAGAACAACAACAAACCCATTATATTCCCACAAGTGGCGTATGGGGAGGGTAGTGTGTACGCAGACCTTATCCCTACCTTGTGAAGGTAGAGAGGCGGTTTCCGATAGACCCTCGGCTCAAGGAAAGATGAAACAACTATTCAAGGAATTTTTCATGAAATGGATAGAGGCAGAAAAGACCACCACTCGGTCAAAAGAATAGTAGAGGAAGATTTCGAAAAGCACATTAAAGCATGGTAATTTAGCATTATTTAGGGAAAAACCTGTTAAAAGATACATGATTTTTTCCCGATAAGGATATATAAAAGTCTAATAAATCAGAAGAGATCTCAAACGTGATGCCACACACTCGAGCCTTCTGCAAAGATTTTAAGGGCTTTGACATTTTGGCAGAACCAATCTTATAGAAGGAAATTATTGCTACTAATATAAGAACCTGAGAACACATGCCTACCTCCTTTGTCGTGGTTAAACCGCTGCCATGATCTGTTTGGAAAAATTCCGTGGGTCACATAAGCACTTATTTTTTGAGCTCCATGTCTAGCCAACACTTTCTGCAAAAAGGCAGAGAATAGTTTTCTACTTGAAATAACAAAAGAGAAAAAGTATATATCAATTTTCAAGAATGTCAACTCTATACAGCATGGTCAAATATTTTATACTTCTACTCTGCATCTAAGTATTTTAAAAAATGTGCATACTAATAACAGGTTTGTTAAGAAGATACATATGCTACTATGACCCTCTCCACATTTCATAATCTTCTCATTGAGAATACAACCCTTCAACATGGAAAAAAAAGAAATCTAAATAAGTTTCTCCAGTTTTAGAGCATACAGAACTAACAACTATAAAGCAGTACCTTGAATTCATGGACCCAAGAATGGTACTTTCTGCACTTTGTTTCAGTTCTACCTTTTAAATGCTAGGATTTCATTACTTACCTAAATGAGGCCAACTTTTCACTTATCAGAGACTACATCAAAACAAAAGACCGTACATAAATAGCTTCTGCTTCACTAGTTTCTGCCAAGTAACTTGGATTAGCCAGAATGGAAATGAGTTACAAAAGTATCAGAACCAAATATAGAGGAGCATTAGACTCTAGATAGGAATGTTTTTATTTCCTTTCTTTTTTTAACCGACCAGGTCATAAACGTATAGCTAAATATGAGGGCTCTAGCCTAATGTGAGGGGAAGTAAATTTGTTCAGATGTAACAAGCAGTCAGCACCATTAGCTTTCTCACCTGGCATTCTGTTAGGGTGCCACCTGATTGTACAAGATCATCCACTATCACCACATGACGTCCATCAGGATCTCCCTCCTTAATCCGTACAATTCGTTGATCACCTTCCCTAACTTTAGCACAGACAATCTGATATTCAACCACAACAGGCCATATATAAATGAGCAAGGCGAACGTGGTTCCAGATGTAAGGCAAATTGAAAAGCAAAGATGTAGTCTTTCAGTAAGATGATAAAAATTCCAGCAGCTTGATTATTGAAGGACCCAACAATTTCTTAAGGAATAAACTATATTCAACCAGAACAAGTAGATGATGATATGCACAGCCTGCTAAATCCAGAAAACTAACACCCTGAATAGCATACGGTAGCGGTCAATGCAAATACAGACATGCGCGCAAACTTCGTAAGCTCACATACTGCACATTTTAAGAAGCTCATAACATAGCGGGATCCACTCCCCTCTTCCCTACCCCCTCCCCAAAGATAAAACATCAATGAATCATCAATCATGCATTAAATCCCAAATCAGCTAGGGCTGGTATTTTCCCTCTTTATCTATTATTTGTTTGGTAGGTAAGGGGCAGGGAGGGATCATTTTACAATGTTAGTCACTACGTACTTATTTAAGGAGTGGGGGAATGGGAAGGGTACCCTAATTTGTGAAAAGGAGAAAGCCTCGATAACCCCCAACCCTGGAGGAGTAAGTGCTCCAGAGTTTAATTCACCACTCAATTCAGGAAACCCAAGTACCAGTACACTGAATTCAACACCTAAGTCAGCTGGTATGACGACTGGAGTAGTAAGCCCAGAAAGAGCTTACTGCAGCGAGAATGGTTATTTCAAACGGTGAGGATCAGGAGATGCGTGGAGCTTTCACTCAAGAGGCTAAATCCAGCGCAAGCAAAATAGTTGTAAATGAAGAGCAGTGGGAGAAGGAACAACGTGATGCCATTCCAGTACCTCAGAAAAAGGTAGAACCGATCAATGGGAACGGAGAGAAAACATGGGCAAAATTGTTCTCTGGTAACAGGATGGCGGCAAGGGGAATGGACCTAGTGTTTGTTCCCCCTTTGATTCAGGATGGAATCAGGAAGGCACAATTGAAACAGGATGAAACGAAGATTGAGAATGAGAAATGGAAAAAGGCTATTATGCCATATGTAATTGGAGAATCTCCACCAATTGGTGCCACAGAGAGATTCATAGCCTCACAATGGAATTTCGCTGCTAAACCAAAGGTATACTATCATAATGAGGGGTATTTTGTCATACTTTTCAATACCATGGAGGACAAAAATGAGGTACTTTACTCAGGGCCACACACCATAAATAATAGGCCAGTAATCCTGAAATCGTGGTCTGCTGATTTTACTTTCTATGATGTTCTAAAGACTATTCCATTATGGGTAAATTTTCCAAATTTGCCACTGAATTGTTGGGGAAGGGTCGCTTTGCGTAGAATTGCTAGTGGACGGGGATGCCCTATATATGCTGATGAATGCACCACGAGTACAAAAAGGATTTCTTTTGCCAGAGTGCTCATCGAAATGGACATTACAAAGGAGTTGCCTAGAGGCATTAGAGTGCAGGACTCAACTGGGAAGGAATGTGATGAGATGGTAGAGTATGACTGGGTACCACAATACTGTAATAAGTGTCTAATGGTTGGACACAACTACAATAGACCAAAAGGAGTACCAGGGACACAAGTGACAAAGCAATAGGATGGAAAACAAAAGCAGAAGGCAGAAACATAAAATCAGCAGGAAAAAATTAAAAAATCATCTAAAATATGCAGGCAGGTTAGGAGCCAAAAGCCAGAAGTCCAATGGTGGGAAAGAGGACCAATAAAACAGGTTGACAAGAACATAGGCAAACAAGTGACTCAATCACAGCAGGTTGAATCACATGCACTGGGAGCTGATCAAGATGTCTGGCAGAGAGCAAAGGGAAGGGGTGTACAAACAAGCCAATTGATTCCAACTCAGAGCAATTGTGAATGCACAATGGATGATTGATATGCCTCCTATGCAGATTCAAGTGATGAATCCTCACTTCTCAGATCATTCTCCACTAAGTATAGAGGTTGAAGCAACAATGGACAACAGAAAGAGACCTTTCAGATTCTATAACTGTCTAGCTGATCATCCAGACTTTGGGAAAATAGTACAGGAATACTGGAGCATCAGGAGAGGAGATATGTGGAGCATTTGGCAGAACTTAAAATGTGTGAAAGCTGCTTTAAAAGGACTCAACAAGAAGGAATTTGTAGATACAACTAAAAAGGTCCAGAAGCTAAGGGGAGATCTGGAAAGCATACAAGCACAAATGAGGAATACTGCATCAAGTGCAGACATGTTTGAAACAGAAAAGGATATAAGATTGCAGTTGGAAAAATGGAGTATGATATAGGAGAGCATTTACAAACAAAAATTTAGAGTACAATGGCTTAAACTGGGAGACTCTAATACAGCTTTTTTCTTTGCTAGCATGAAAGGGAGAGCCTCACAGAATTAGATCAAAATGCTCACCGAAGAAGATGGAAGCTTGATAAGAATGCAGAAGGAATAGAAGATGAGATAGTGGGTTTTTACAAGTGTTAGTTAGTTAGTTGTTATGTAAATAAGAATAGTCCTACATGGAATAAGAGTAGTGTAGGAATTGTGTATTGTTATAAATAGGGATACTTGTATTATAGTTAATACACATCAATAATATAATTTTCCGAGTTATTAATTCTCACATGTTATCAGTGCAACAGTGAGAAACTCCGGAAAGGTCGGATAGTCGATGTGCATCAATTTCCGGCGACTCTTTCTAGAATATGATGGTGTCACCTCTCTGTTGGTGAGTGTTGTGCTAAAACCAACACCACCAACATACTCGGAAAGCTCCGGCGACCAAACCCCAAGAAACCAGTTCGGCAGAAACCCTACCACGCGCCGTCTAGCGCGGCTTAAAGCTCTGATGCCGGCGATGCGTCAGTCACACGCGCCGGCACATGGACACTGTTCTGTTCCGGCCAGTTTTTGACAAAAGTTCTTTTGGACAGTCCGTTCGCCCATCAATTCCCAGCCTACCCATCATATTTTCTTTTTATTCCGATCACTTTCAATTTTTTCCGGCAGAAATAGTGATTTTCTGGCAAAAACAATGATTTCTTCCCTGTTTCAGCAAGGTACATCTGATTATTTTTATTATTTGTTTCTAGACCTCTCTCCAATCCAACGATGTCTTTGGGAATTGATGTATTTGGTTTTAAAAGCACGGGTTCTGCAAATTCAAGCTTCATGATTACTTCGGAGCCCTTAATGGGAAGCTCAAACTATTTAGCTTGGGCTTCCTCTGTTGAGTTGTGGTGCAAGGGTCAAGGTGTTCAAGACCGCTTAACCAAAAAGGCTAATGAGGGAGATGAAAAGGCCAAAGCACAGTGGGAAAAGATCGATGCTTAGTTATGTAGTATCCTGTGGCGATCTATTGATTCCAAGTTGATGCCTTTGTTTCGTCCATTCCAGGCATGTCATTTAGTTTGGGAAAAGGCTCGTGCTTTATACACTAATGACATATCTCATTTCTATGATGTGATATCGCGGAAGACAAACTTGAAGAAACGGGAATTGGATATGTCTACTTACTTGGGACAAGTACAGGCAGTCATGGAAGAATTTGACAAGTTGATGCCAGTTTCTGCTAGTATTGAAAAGCAACAAGAGCAACGACAGAATATGTTTCTAGTTCTTACACTCGTTGGACTTCCTAATGACCTTGATTCAGTACGTGACCAGATTTTGGCTAGTCCGACTGTCCTTATAGTTGATGAATTATTCTCTCGATTACTTCGCCTTGCTGCAGCACCAAGTCACCCAGTGATCTCATCACAAACACTTGACTCCTCTGTTCTCGCATCCCAGATAGTGGACAACCGGGCATCTCAAACTATGGAGAATAGACGAAGAGGAGGTCGTTTTGGAAGATCTAGACCCAAGTGTTCTTATTATCATAAACTTGGACACACTCATGAAGTTTGCTATTCTTTACATGGTCGACCACCCAAAAATGCTTATGTTCCTCAGACCGAGACTACACGTAACCAGTGATTTTCTTTATCTATAGGGGAATATAATGAGTTCCTTCAGTATCAAGCAAGCAGACATCTCCACAAGTAGCCTCGGTTGCTCAAACTGATACTTCTGTTACTGGTAATTCTTTTGCTTGTGCTTCCCAGTCTAGTACTCTTGGACCATGGGTCATGGACTCAGACGCTTCTGATCATATCTCTGGTAACAAATCACTTTTGTCGAATATTGTATATTCATAGTATGTTCCCACTGCTACTTTAGCCAATGGGTTTCAAACTAAAGCAAAAGGAGTTGGACAAGCTAATCCCCTATCTTCTGTCACTCTAGATTATGTTCTTTATGTCCCTGGCTGTCCTTTTAGTCTTGCAATTGTTAGTCATTTGACTCGTGCCCTCCATTGGAATATATTTTATTGATGATTCTTTTATTATGCAGGACCGCAGTACGGGGCAGACGATTGGCACATGGCGTGAATCAGAAGGCCTTTACTACCTTAACTCACTCATTCCCTCCACAGCATGTCTAGTTACAGATCCTCCAGACCTAATTCACAGACGTTTAGGACATCCGAGTTTATCCAAGTTTCAGAAGATGGTGCATAGTTTATCTAGTTTGTCTACATTAGATTGTGAGTCGTGTCAGCTTGGAAAATATACCCGAGCTTCCTTTCCGCGTAGTGTTGAGAGTCATACAGATTCTGTTTTCTCTTTAGTTCATTTTGATATATAGGGTCCTAGTAGAGTCAGTTCAATCTTTGGATTTCGTTATTTTGATAGTTTCACTGATGATTATTCAAGATGTACTTGGTTTTCTTAATGAAAGATCGTTCTCAGTTGTTTTCTATATTCCAAAATTTTTGTACTGAAATCAAAATCAATTTGGTGTTTCTATTCGCACTTTTCGCAGTGATAATGCGTTATAATATTTATCATCTCAGTTTCAGCAGTTTATAACTTCTCAAGGAATTATTCATCAGACATCTTGTCCTTATACCCCTCGGCAAAATGGGGTTGCAGAGAGAAAGAATAGGCACCTTATGATTAATCGGATGCCTTCATCTCCCATCCAGAATCAGATTTTGTATTCAGTATTGTTTCCCCAGTCACCCTTATACTCTCTTCCCCCTCGTGTTTTTGGGAGCACTGTTTCGTTCATAACTTAGACCCTGGGAAAGATAAGTTAGCTCCTCGTGCTCTCAAGTGTGTCTTCCTTGGTTATTCTCGTATTCATAAAGGATATCTTTGTTACTCACATGATCTTTGTACGTACCTTATGTCAGCTGACGCATTTTTTGAGTCTAAACCTTTCTTTACCTCTTCTGACCACCATGATATATCTGAGGTCTTACCTATACCGACCTTTGAGGAGTTTACTATAGCTTCTCCCCTACCTTCAGCCACAAAAGTCTTACCCATACCAACCGTTGAGGAGTCTACTGTTGCTCCTCCTAGATCCCCAGCCACAAGAACACCACTCTTGACTTATCGTCGTCGTCCGCGCCCAGCATCAGGCCCAGCTGATTCACGTCCTGCACCTGACCCTGCTCCTATGCGGACTTGTCTCTTCCTAGTACACCGATTGCACTTCGGAAAGGTATACATACCACACTTAATCCTTATTCCCATTATGTCGGTTTAAGTTATCATCGTCTGTCATCACCCCATTATGCTTTTATATTTTCTTTGTCCTCTGTGTCCATCCCTAAGTCTATAGGTAAAGCATTGTCTCATCCAGGATGGCAACAGGCTATGATTGACGAGATGTCTGCTTTACATACGAGTGGTACTTGAGAGCATCTTCCTCTTCCCTCAGGTAAATCTACTGTTGGTTGTCGTTGGGTTTATGCAGTCAAAGTTGGTCCGGATGGCCAGTTTGATCGACTTAAGGCCCGTCTTGTTGCCAAATGATATACTCAAATATTTGGGCTCGATTACAGTGATACTTTCTCTCTCGTGGCTAAAATAGCATTAATCCGCCTTTTTCTATCCATGGTTGTTCGCCATTAGCCTCTCTATTAGCTGGACATTAAGAATGTTTTTCTTCACGGTGACCTTGAGGAACAAGTTTATATAGAGCAACCACCTGGTTTTGTTACTCGGGGGACTCTCGTGTCCTTGTATGTCGCTTGTGCCGGTCACTTTATGGTCTAAAGCAGTATCCTCGAGCGTGGTTTGGTAAGTTTAGCACAGTTATCCAGGAGTTTGACATGATTCGCAGAGAAGCTGATCACTCTGTGTTTTATCGGCATTCTGATTTAAGTCTCTGTATTTATCTGGTGGTCTATGTTAGCGATATTGTTATTACCGGCAATGACCAGGATGGTATTACTAAATTGAAGCAACATCTCTTTCAACACTTTGGGACTAAGGATCTGGGCAGATTAAAGTATTTTCTGGGTATTGAGGTCGCTCAGTCTAGCTCAGGTATTATGATCTTACAACGGAAGTATGCCTTAGACATTCTTGAGGAGACAGGAATGATAGGTTGTAGACCCGTTGACACTCCGATGGATCCGAATTCTAAACTTTTGCCAGGACAGGGGAAGCCGCTTAGCGATCCTGCAAGATATAGGCAGCTGGTTGGTAAATTAAATATCTCACAGTGACTAAACCCGATATTTCCTTTCCTGTGAGTGTTGTAAGTCAGTTTATGGATTCTCCTTGTGATAGTCATTGGGATGCAGTTGTCCGCATTCTTCGATATATAAAATCAGCTCCAGTCAAAGGATTATTGTTTGAGGATCGAGGCCATGAGTAGATCGTTGGATACGCAGATGCTGATTGGGCAGGATCACCTTCTGATAGACGTTCTACGCCTGGATAATGTGTTTTAGTAGGAGGCAATTTGGTGTTTTGGAAGAGCAAGAAACAGAATGTAGTTGCTCGATCTAGTGCAGAAGCAGGATATCGAGCAATGGCTATGGCAACATGTGAGCTAGTTTGGATCAAACAATTGCTCAAGGAGTTGAAATTTGGTAAAATTAGTCAGATAGAACTTGTGTGCGATAATCAAGTTGCCCTTCATATTGCATCAAATCCGGTGTTACATGAGAGAACTAAACACATTGAGACTGACTCTCACTTCGTCAGAGAAAAGATACTCTCAAGAGATATTGCAACAAAGTTTGTGAAGTCGAATGATCAGCTTGCAGATATTTTTACCAAGTCCCTCACTGGTCCCCGTATTAGTTATATATTTAACAAGCTCGGTACATATGATTTGTATGCACCGGCTTGAGGGGGAGTGTTAGATAGTTATGAAAATAACCCAAGTCCCACATGGAATAGGAGTAGAATATGTATTGTGTATAGTTACAAATAGAGCTATTGTAAAACACTTAATAGAATATCAATAATGGATTTTTCTCCCGTGCATTCTCACAGCTTTCAAAAATTTTCCAGATCATCAGGCTTGATAGCAAACCAAGACAAAAGTTGTATCTATTTTGGAGGGGTTCCACTAGATATACAGCAGCTGATTACACAAAGCCTAGGTTTCTCTGTAGGTTCTCTACCTTTTAGATACCTGGGGGGTGCCTCTGAGTATAAAAAGATTATCGGTGGCTCAATGTCAAACTCTGACGGACAAGATGCTTGCAAAGGTGAACCATTGGACAGCAAAATTCATGTCGTATGCAGGAAGGTTGCAATTGATTAAGAGTGTTATGATTGCCATCCAATCCTTTTGGTCACAAATATTTCCATTACCAAAGAAGAAAATTCTGAAGTTTGAAACTATTTGTAAAAGATTTCTTTGGACGTGTGAATCTGAAGGCAACAAAAAGGCATTGGTGGCTTGGGAGAAGTTGTGTTGGCCCACGTCTGCGGGAGGGCTGAACATCACTGACATACTAAGATGAAAAAAGCAATCCTGCTAACTGTGGCATTTCTTTTTAAGCCTAGCTGGAATTTCCTGGACAATGCCAAACAATCCTGCTAACCTTCTTAGTAGCTGGAACAATGGAGAGGCAAACATTCAACATAAGAATTGGTGGAAAGTCATCCCTGCTTGCATATGGTGGGCTATATGGAAGGAAAGAAATGCCAGAATTTTTGAAGATAAGCAAAGCTCTTACCAGAAAATTAAGCTAAACTGTTTTTTGTTGTTTCATTTTTGGTGTAAGGAGAGCTATAGGGTGGATGTACATTCTTTGTTTGATCTGCTAGAAGAATTGTAAAGGATAGACTAAGGGGTTCAGTTTTTTCTTTTGGTTCTGATTGTGGTGACACACAATCTTGTAATTATTTTTCTCATATATATAATCGTTACCTTTCTCAAAAAAAAAAAGATGAAAAAAGCAGCAGTCCTAAAGCACCTACGTAATCTATGTAAGAAGAAGGATAGATTATGGATACAGTGGATGCATATATATTACATAAAGAAAGGTGTAGTATGGAATACATATGCCAAGCAAGCTTCATGGTTAACTCAAAAAGACCTAAGTGCTGCAAAGTACCTACCAGAAGCAAATATAAGAGTGGAGGATATTTTGAATGCAGAAAGCTATTCCATTAGAGACATCTATAACATACTTAGAGGAGACTTTCCTGAAGTTGAGTGGAGGAAGCTGATGTGCAACAATCAGAGTAGTCCTAGGTGGATCTTTATACTATACATAGCATTACAGGGCAGGTTATACACCAGAGACAGGCTTATCAAATGGGGCGTACTAACCAGTCCATTTTGCTCATTATGTGAAGGAGGAGCAGAGGACCATGAACACTTATTTTTCAAGTGCAGCTACTCAACAGCAATATGGAGAAAGCTGCTATACTGGATAGGAATCAATAGGGATGCACAAGGTTGGACTGAGAAATCAGCTGGGCTACAAAATATGCATCAGGAAGACAACCATTAGCAGCAGTGTAAAGAATGGCCTTAACTAGTGCTGTCTATCACATATGGCAGGAGAGAAATGGGAGAACTTTCCGCATGAAGAAGAGGACCAGTGATGATATTGTTAGAGCAATAGTTCAAGAGATTCATTGTCGAGGAAGTATGAGTCCTAGACTAGCCAAACAACTGCAGGAGCTAAACTTTTATCCTTAGCTAGTTTGCTTTAGATTTGAATTAGGAGTATTGGTGCTGTTTAGTTTAAGAGTCTTTAGAGTTGGGGCTATATGTCCAACTTTAGTATGAAAGCTATATGGTTTTGTTTTATACTTGTACATATTTCCCTGGTAATAAAAAATTTCTAATTACCAAAAACAAAAAAGGAGCGGTTTATGGCATTCATCTTTGGGTCACAGGTGCTCGAGCACATTTATAAAAGTCAATAATCCTATTTGCAATTTGTAAAATACAATTTGCACTTATTTAAGGGGGTTATGACAACTTTGAGCATAGGTACTAGAGGGCCTTTAGAAAGGTCAATAGTCCTACTTGCAATTTGTAAAATACAAGTGCATGACGAAGAAACTGAAGATTCGAGACAATAAAAAGGGGAACTATAATTCAATCCCATATTAGAGCATACAGGAGCAAGTTTACAAGCATAAAAACATGAATATAAATGTATGATCACCATGCTGATGGAGTTATTTTGAGCAACAAACTAGTTTTGAAGGAATACCATTGGAAAATGCTGAAGCTGCTTGTGAAAACGTTTCCATGCACCATCATCAGGAAAAGCTAGAGATATCTACAGAAAGCAACAGGACGTCGATTATTAGCAGGAAAAAATATTTAACCATTGACCACTTCCATTATTTCAATCATACAAGTAGTAGGTGAAAAATCGGTATCCTGCAATGTCACAAGCACATTATGTGATCTACAAATTTTAGGACCAAAAAGACCGTTACATTTCCTTTTTAATTTTTCTTCATGCAATGGGAATAGCACCCCAAAGGAATTCATTTCCTTTTTATTTTTCTTCATGTAATGGGAAAAGCAACCCAAAGGAATTCATTAATTTTAAAATCATAGTCTAGACTCATCTTTCATAACTAGTTCATGCTTGAATTCTGAACCGTTAAATCTAAGCACGAGTTTGGAAAAAATAACTATAGCCTCTGGTTATTGGAAGGCAGTACTAATACAAATTCATTCTGTTTATAAGCACATCGGAAAAGAACATAAACCAAACAGTACATCTGTTTGAGAGCAAATCTTTGAGGACTCTGAACTGGACACCAAAACTAGAACAACTCTTAAGAAGCTTTACAAATTTCAAGTGTATGTCCTAGCAACAATCAAGCTCAAATAACTACAGAGCAGGATTCAAATCCCATCAGAGGTGAAAAATGATAGTGATTTCTTTTCATCTGTCTAAGTTTTGAGGGACAAAGTTAATCGGAATATGTACTAGTGGGAGCTAGCAGGTGTCCTGTGCATTAGTCGAGGTGTGGGGAAATTGGCCCGGACACCACAGTTATCAAAAAGGAAAAAAACAGCTATTAAGCTTGACGTAGCTAATCTGCCAGAAAAGATGCTTTGATTCTTATTACACTCATTTTTATTATAGAATACCGAGTCACATCCACCTAGTTTTACCCATCAGAGGTTGGACTGAAGGGATAAAAACATTTAGCTTAAAGAGATGAGAAGTTTACTTGTTTCAATATCCTCACGATCCCTTCGCTTTATGTGCTATAAGATTCATCAACATGTTAGTTTACTGGAGTTCCTCAACATCAGATTTTGCAAAGAATACAAAAACATTCGGAAGAGAAACACCGCTATTTCCAGCATCAGAATATCAAACATATGATTAACTTGTTTATGTTACCTCATACCAGGATAAAAGGAAAGGAAACAAAACTTACATTGTCAGAGTCAGGGAGTTGTTGTAGCCTATTCAGAAGCAAGGGGATCCCGCTCTCGAAGCATGGTAGTATATTGTCTCCAAAGTAGAACCTCTCCTGTAATTGAGGAAGTCACATAAACAAGCATCAACTTAAGATTACAATGACATATAAGCTAGAAAATGACCAGCATGAAAAAACATCAGGTTTTTCAGGAAGACATGACTTTGGTATACACCTGCAAGGCATGGATATCAAAGGTAACTAAACTAGTTGGTCCTCCTCGAGGAACTGGAATGTTTGACAAAATCCTGGCAAGCGTAAAAGCTGTGGCAACATCACCTTCATCCTCCATACGCTCAGATGTGCCCGTTGGGAAGAACGGAAGGACAAGTGTGAATGAGGAAACGAAGAGCTTTGGCAATGCATAAATAACTGATAATTGCTCAAAAATCACCCCAGGAGAACTAAATGAAGCAAGGAAAGCTGCATGCTGTCCACGGATGCCATGAGCATTAGATATGAATAGGTTTGGGAATCCATCTTCAAAAGTCCTGAATTTATTTAGACCAAATCAACTTTGCAAAATAATACAATAAACAGTACTTGTGGTCCTCTTACTCAATTAAGTTATGTTCCCTTAATAATGCAGCAAGTATAGGGGTCAGAAAATCAAATTAATTCTACACTCTCACTCATTTTTCTTAAATTCGATTTAAAATTGTTATCCAAGTCTATTTAACATAAATATATCTGATCAAACTATTAGTTTATTTTGACAAGCATGTTTCTATGGCGCCAAGAAGGGAACTTTGATCTCATCGTAAGCAGGCAAAACTCCAATTTCCAAAGTTTACCCTTGTGGACCTATTAACCAGAATGAATTTGGTACTTCTTTCGCCCCATTTTATGTGACATTGAACTTAACACATTAGTTTGATTTGTATGTTACACAAAAGAAAGAGTGGAATAAAAAATTAGCTAAATAGTTAAAAGTTCTGGTTCAGTATACAACCCTTAATAAAAGCTGGCAATTTCTCCTTTTTATTTCTTCTCGGTCTTCCACCTCATCTAGGCTCAGTAATTAGTTATAAATTACTCGTTCTGTCCCAATTTATATGACACTTTCCATCTTGGGACATCCCAAATCGTTCAATAACATTATTCTTTTACCCAGTTTAATACCACAAGTGGGGTATGAGGAGGGTAGTGTCTACGCAGACCTTACCCCTACGTGGTGAAGATCTTTACAACCTTCACAAACTTTCAAGAATTTAAATTCTTTGATATGGTGTTTTATTTATCAAACTGACTTTTATCCATAAATTCAATGTTTTTTTCCCACAATCACCAATTTATAATACAAGTAAAAAAATATGTTTAACTCCATGCTTAATCAAATACAGCCATATAAAATGGAACTGTGTAAATAATTTTAAAGAAAAATAACATATCACTACTTAAATATGATTAGTTAAAATATATTTAAATTCTACTAATTCATAAAAATTAATCACTCTATCCCAATTTATGTGATATTCTTTTCTATTTTGACTTTCCAAAAAAATACTCCATCTGTTCGCTTTTAGTTGACTTTTGACTTTGCACTCCAACAACAACAACAACAACAGCCCAAGTGAGGCCTGGGAGGGTAGGGTAGGTCGATAGAAAAAATAGTACGTATTTTACAATTTTACCCATAAAAAAAGTATTAGAAAAATAATTTGGGAATTAGTAGTTAATGACGGGGTAAAACATGAAAAAAAGATTGATTTGCTAAAATGGAAAAGTAAAAATAAAAATATATTTTTAGTATAATGGACAAGTAAAAGTGAACTGAGCGAGTAATATCGTTCTATATTGAGAAAGAATTTAACTTTAAACTTTCAATGACTACTATGTCTATAACTTATTTTATTCCACAAATTTGGAAAGTGTATTTTTTCTTAATCTTTGTGCCTAGTCATGCAACACCAAGGAGTATAGAAGATAATTTTACTAAAAACAATGTCGAATTAATAAATAAATAAGGAGTTGGGCGAATCTTACCTCCAAGTGATACTACGGAGCTCAATGGCGTCAGATTGAGAAGCAATTCGCTCAGCAAGATCTTTCATCTCATCGCAATAGAATAAGCAAACTCTCTTCGAATTCTTACCAGCAGAACCCAAAGCAGCAGCTGCAGACATTGGGATTGAAGGAGGTTTCAGAATAATATGAATTGGATCAGTCGCTGAGACACAGCCCACCGTCCACCTTTGGTTACTCTCAAATTCACATCGAATGGAAAAATCCTTATTACGCTTGAAGGATCGCGAGAGGATAAAAGTGGAATTATGGAATTTGTCAAGGGTTTTTGAGGAATGTGAAGAGACGACCGGCGGCGACGGCGGAGTTGTGGCTGACATGGGGTGGAAGTGTGTCAGTGTTAACGGGTTGTGTAAGGGTGGAGGAACTAAAGACTATTAGAATTGCGGCTAGAGCTGGCGGCACTTTGTGTTGTAAGGAAAGAAAATATAAATACACTTCCGCTCGGACCAAACTACATTAACTTACAATCTACATATATACTCCTATATGGAGTACATAGTTTAGGACATTAGGTTCCATGTACGGGTGTTGTAACAAATATTTATGTAATCAAGTCTCATAAAAATAATTTTTTTGAAATACTTGATTATGGTGGATGTTCGTAACTACTAAGGGAGTAACACCCACTATACTTCTCCATTAATCTTACCATTATGATTGTAACTCCAATACCTTCATTATCTTTCTCATGATCTCAATAGTTCCTGGGATTGAATTCAACTAGCTTACAAGGAGTGAATCTATGCATTCTTATTTTAAATTATTTTGAGGTTGGCTTGGTCTAGTTTATATTACATGACAATACAAATAAATTTTTGCAGGAAAATAAGCGGACTAAATGAAGAATGTCCATATTGACTATGGCTTGAGGGTAAGACGGTGGATTCAAGTTCACTGCACCATAAGGGTAAGGCGTCGGGTGTGAGTCCCGGTGCACCGTGATTATAAGAGTTGGGTTTGATCCCAACTCATTATGGCTTAACATGCCGTTATATGGGTAAGACATTGGGTTTGAGTCCCAATGCACCATATTGATGATATAATGATTACTAAAGAAAAATAATGTCTTTTCATGAAAAGGCATGAAGCTTGTCCCATTTGATTTGCTCCATTCTTAAAGTGAATGTGATAGCAGTGTATAATAAGTCTAAATGAAAATAAATGGTTGACCAAAGAACGTGAGCGTGCTAAAGATCAAAACAATAATAGTCATCATTATGGTAATTATAAAAAAGAGAATAATAAGGGTTCTCAAAATAATCCTTCCAAGGTTAAAGAAATATGTATCAATGTGGTCTGTTAATACGAGGCACGTTCACATGATTATAGTCCATTCCTTGAAAATATGACTTGTGATAAGCATTGTAAATGCGGACTCATTCATGAAAGTGAATGTGAAAATATATATGTGATAAAAATTATGCATAAGAATGCGGTTATGCATGGTTGGATAAATACTACAACTCACCTCTAAGGGAGGTTTGAGAGAAAGAAAGAAAATGCATATTACTGTGTGGTTACATGGATATGTCATTAGTCGCGTACATGTGGTACGCCAAAAATATATCGTCATGTCTTATAAAAAGTTATTAAAGGAAAATTTAAAGCAAGAAATGATTTTGCTAATGCTGATTTTGACCATGACAATTATTACGAAATAATTTTCTCCGTAAAGGAGATATTCACCGTATGAATGGTGTAACAAAAGATCTTGTAGTACAAAATTAATTAAGAGCTCTGAAAGAACTAATTTGTTACTATCCGGATGAATGAAATTGTTATTGACATTAATATTGTAGTAAGTCTCAAAATGTCACGACCCAAAATCTTAACCTGCCGTGATGGCGTCTATCGTGGTACTAGGCAAGCCGACATTTCAAAATATTCCCAACATTTTTAACAGAAAACGAATTAAAGTAGTTTAAATAATGGAGGTTCTCATAAACGGGATAGAAACCCAAAACACAACGCGAAAGTTCCTAACCATGGGGTGTCACAGAGTACATGAGCATCTATACATCACAAGTCTGAAAAGATACTGTCTATGATAGTCTGAAACTAAATACAATAAGCGGAAAGATAGGAAAGGAGAGACACGGTCTGCGAAACGACGGCAACTACCTTGAAATCTCCCGAAGATCAACTGTGCACTGAAATCAACACTCACCGTGTCCAGAAACACCTGGATCTACACACGAAGTGCAGGGTGTAGCGTGAGTACAACCAACTTAGTAAGTAACAAGACTAAATAAAAAACTAAAAGTAGTGACGAGCTTCACAGTCAAAGTTTAATTATAGTAATTTTAGCATAGGAAGGTAGGCATGCTTTCAAGTTCGACAAATAAGTCCAAAACAGTTATTTCATATCAAGTTCATTTGAAACAGAAGATTATATCTCTCAGAAATTTCAAGATAGTGATATATGACAGCTGAAGTGCAACAGAAATGAAAGTCAAATGCAGCCTCTCAGAGCAACAGTAACACAATCCTCCCATTCACTCCAACCTCACAATCACCCATTCCTCACATTCACTCATTCCTCTCAATCGCTCAGCACTCGACACTCAGCACTCGGCACTCGCACTCAGTAGGTACCTGCACTCACTGGGGGTGTGTATAGACTCCGGAGGGGCTCCTTCAACCCAAGCGCTATAACAAGCCAATCATGGCATATATCAGTGAAACATGTTGCGGCGTGCAGCCCGATCCCATAAATATTCTCACAATTAGGCCCTCGGCCTCACTCAGTCATCAACCTCTCCAGTCTCTCGGGCTCTCAGAAATCATGATAAGCAGCCCAAACATCAATGATATAATGCATCAATAATGAACAATAGAGACTGCGATGTAATATACAAGTAAAACTGTGACTGAGTACAAAACAATAATTTAGCAGATAATTCAACATGTACACGACCTCTGTGGGTCCCTATAGTGCCAACACATAGTCTAAACATGATTTCTAACATGATTCGTGATTCAATTTCTCTAATATATGGAGAATGTGCAGATAACAACAGGTTATTCAACTACCCAGTTCTATGAAATTTGACCAAGTCATAATTCCTACGGTTCACGCCCACACGCCCGTCACCTAGCATGTGCGTTACCACAAAACCAAATACATAACACGTAATACGGGGTTTCGTACCCTCAGAACCAGATTTAGAACTGTTACTTACCTCAATCCGAGCAAATCTCTACTCCAACACACTCTTGCCTTGCGAAACGGCCTCTGAATTCCTTGAATCTTGCTAATAAACAATTCGATACAATCAATACGGGCTAAAGGAATCAACTACATAAGGAAATGCTAAGCTATTAATCAAAATAAAAAATCAACTCAAAAGCCGGCCCCCGGGTCCACGTCTCGAGATTCGATAAAAGTCATAAAAGCCGAAAGCCCATTCAAATACGAGTCTAACCATACCAAATTCATAAAAATCCAACACCAAATCGTCACCCAAATACCCAAATCAAACTCTCCAAATCCCTAACCTCAATCTCCCAATTTACACCTTAAATATACACCAACTAGGTGGAAAAATCAATGGGGAAGTAATATTATTGATAAAAAATGAGCACAAGCGACTTGCCTCAAGAATTCCCTCGAAAACCCTCTCAAGAATCGCCAAAACCCGAGCTCAAAATGTTTAAATGAAGCAAAATCGCGAACCCTTGCATTTAAGTGTTCTGTCCAGTACTTCCGCTTATGCGGAAACTTAACCGCTTCTGCGGCATCGCAGAAGCGACATCACACACGCATTTGCAGCTCATTCCGCTCCTGTGGTCCCTCACTCCGCTTCTGCGAGCGTCCAAGTTGCTTATGCGGACCAAGCTCATCTGCCCAGCTCCACTTCTGCGGTCCGCCTGCCGCATCTGCGGTCACGCAGGTGCGGAATTCCCTATCTCACCTGTGCGCCTTCTGCTTCTGCGCACCTCTCACCGCACCTACGACCACCTGCACACTCCCCTCCAAACTCGCACCTGCGCAAGCCAGCCCGCACCTGCGAGCTCGCACATGCCATCAAAGCTCCGCAGGTGCGGTTACACCAGCAGAGGTCCAACTTCAACAATCTCTCAACTTCAACTTTTGATCTGTTAACCCTCCGGAATCAACCCGAGGCCCCCAGGACCTCAACCAAACATACCAATAAGTCCTAAAACCTCATACGAACTTAGTCGAGCCCTCAAATCACATCAAACAACTTCAAAAACATGAATCGCACCTCAATTCAAGCCTATTGAAACTAAGGAAATTCAACTTCTACAAACGACATCGAAACCTATCAAAACACATCCGATTGATCCTAAATTTTTCACACAAGTTACAAATGACATTACAGACCTACTCCAACTTCTGGAAATCGGAATTCGACCTCAATATTAAAAAGTCCACTCCCGGTCAAACTTCTCAAAAATCTAACTTTTTCCATTTCAAGCCTAATCCCACTACGGACCTCCAAATTACAATCCGGACACGCTCCTAAGTCCAAAATCACCCAACGGAGCTAACGAAACCATCAAAAGTCCATTCCGAAGTCGTTTACTCAAAGATCAACATCCAGTCAATCATTTCAACTTTGAACCTTGAGACTAAGTGTCTCATTTTTTAAGGACCCGAACCGACTACCCTGGCAAGTCACATAATAGTTATAAAGTACAAAATGAGCAGTAAATGGGAAAAATGGGGCTATAACTCTCAAAACGACCGGCCGGGTCGTTACACAAAAGAAACATTTTGAGTTTCAAATATATTAGCCAAAGTGGTTGGCATTTTAAAGGAAGATTGAATATCTTTATATTACTATAATCATACCGGGTAAATATGAAAGGTTACCCGACTTTTCTTCTATTTGTACTACACATGTATAAGTATGATGATGGAATCACATGCTATAGTACAGATGCTTATTGAAATAAATATCAGTTTGCATGACTGGTTGGCCATCCCGCTTCAATTATGATGCGAAAAATGATTGAGAATTCACATTGTCATATATTGAAGAATTAGGAGATTCTTCGAGAATTCTCTTGTACGACTTGTTCTCATGATAAACTGNATATATATATATATATATATATATATATATCAACTTGCAGTATGGTGTTTGCAAGGTTGCTTGCTCAAATTATTAGAGCACAGTTCCTGAATATAAATTATGATGATTTATCTTGATAATGCTGGTTTAAATCCAAGTTAGTTTAGCAAAAATTGTATGCCTCCAATTATAGCTAAATCATTTGTTATGAGAACAAAACTCCCAAAAGAAATTTTGTATGAGGTGCATTATTTAATAGACAGTAGTACTTGTACGCACCTAGCCAAAAAGTTATGATAAATTTTCCCTATTACAATTGGTTCAGGGTCACGAACCAAATAATTTTCATCTAGAAATATGGATGTGCTATATGATTTAATTGTTCTACCACAATGCACAAAGATGGATCCCCAAAGAAGGTTGT